AATATATAAATCTACAGTGGTTTTCACGGATGTTCCATTATAACTACTGAACCATGCATCCGATTGACTTCAAACTTGGTATCCATGTAAAAAATACACGTGCTTAATGGATAGGCTAAGATTTATATGAGTGTTGGACACCCTAATAATAATGACAATAAATAATAATGTTAATCTTAAATGCTCAGCGAAGCGGGCGAGTACGGCTAGTCTATACTTCTATACTAATTTTATAAAGAGGAAAGATTTGTTAGTTTGTTTGTATTGAATAGGCTCCGAAATTACTGACCCGATTTGAAAAACTCTTTCACTGTTTGGAAGCTACACTATTCCCCAGTGACATAGGCTATAATCTTTTTTGAAAAAAATTAGGGATCCCTACTAAAACTACAATAATGTAACCCTAGGTGTAAAAAAAATCCCTAAAATATTCTTTACATCGTGTGTCCTGCGATAACTATAGATGATAGAATAAAAGATTGTATTACGACTTTACAAAACACATTATTATTTACAAAAAGTGTCGCGACAGCATATTTCTAACTATTATAGTTATGCAGCAATAAGTGTTATTTTATTGAAAAAAATAAAACAACGTCAAATATCGTTGAAATTTTTGTTAAATACTCGAACGGAGCCGGAGTGAGCTGCTAGTCTTTAATAAATCGTTTCAATCGCTTCAGTGCTCACTTGTTTTCGTGTATATATATACTAGAATGTTGTAAAACTGGTTTACACGAAACACGCGATGCATTTGAATAAATTTGGGAAATTTTCACTTTTCTCTCAAATATTATAGTGTGTTTTGATTACAGATGTTAATGTGGTGCTTATTCTATTTATATCTTAATACGAAGTTGTAAAAAAAGGTTACGGGACGACAGGTACTGAAAACTTAACTACAAATATATTTTTTGGTACAATTTTTCCTTATTAGGAAAGGCAATGGGATCTAAGCCCATACAGCCTTGTCTGTTCTATATAATTTCTGAAATGAATTTAACTACAAATACTAGAATAACATTCTATTTTTTTTTTTTTTATTGAGAAGTTATACTGAAAATGTGGAGGAAATGTAACAATTTTTTTTCGGTCTATCGGGTAGACTAGCTTAAAGTTCAGTGGTTACCGGAGCTCATCGACAAATTTCATCACGAAATTGCCCTAAGCAATGCAACTATATTGTAAATTTAACCAATTTGTTCCTAATAAGCATCCAATCAACATTTTTCCCTAATTTTAGGAAAAATCGCCAAGTCGGCATCACTTAATCGGCAAAACCTGAAAAATAGTGCTATAAATTTTTTAATTAAAAAGAATTGTTTTATTTGCCTTATTCGCATAAACCTGCATCGATTCATAATGGTTTGAAGCGTGAAAATTAAAAGTTATGAACATTCCAGTTCGTGTGGTGTTTTTTTTTTTCAATTGATCTCTGGCTGGTTTTTATTATCGCTTTTTTAGATTACGTTCGAAATGTTTTTTTTTTAATATTTATTTGCGAAACGGATTAGGCCTAGTGAAAATGAGTTTTTGATACTTCTGTTGTTTTAGTTGAAATTGGCTTCGGGAACTAATTATTTAAGAGCGGGCTTCAGACCCTTAAAGCCTAAAAGGCATCACTGTTTCGTAATAGAAAATGGTTAGGGTCGTAGGAGGTAATGAGCGCAGGTTCATGACCGACCAAGTTTATTTTTTAATTTCAACGCTTAGGTACCCTTTACTGGTGGTAGGACCTCTTTTGAGTCCGCACGGGTAGGTACCACCACCCAGCCTATTTCTGCCGTGAAGCAGTAATGCGTTTCGGTTTGAAGGGTGGGGCAGCCGTTGTAACTATACTTGAGACCTTGGGACTTATGTCTCAAGGTGGGTGGCGCATTTACGTCATAGATGTCTATGGGCTCCAATAACCACTTAACACCAGGTGGGCTGTGAGCTCGTCCACTCATTTAAGCAATAACAAAAAAAAACCCTACACTACATTTTGCAGGTTTGATTTTTGTTACGTTTGCTAATTCTTCATCATGGATTTTTTTCTTGAAGGTTGTTACGCGCACCCAAAAAGGCTTCGCGTATGAAACACGTTGAATGTCAGATAGAAACCATGGTTAGCTCAGTGGGTCGCGTGGATACTGGTTTTTTGATCTAAAGCTGACACTTTGTGAAAGACATTTGGTATATATGGTCTCTTTTTCTATTTGTCTGTAGTACATTTCTGGCGGCTGTAACGCAAATAGACATCTAAGCCTAGGCCCTTGTTTTGTGAAATGCTTATTTTAACTAAATATGATACATTTGCACATCAAAGTTAACTACAACAAGTTCGAAAACGGGCCAAAGACCTGAGAGGTGGTACTCTTTTCTAATTATCAATGTCAAAATACAAAAAAATTCAAACCAAAGACAGCATTAATATTATTTTAGCAATAAGCCAAACAGCCGGGAGCGATCGCGTCATTCCCACATTGCTCTTCATAAATTAGTATTTCTCTTTGTAAACGAATTTGGCTTTGCGAACGTTACAAATATAATAAACCTATTGTTAGATTCCACGTTAATATTTGTTACAATTAACAATTATATCCCATTAATAGAGACGTTCATTAAAGTGATCTGCAAACAATAAAATTGTTTATTTATAAAATTCTCCCTTGCCAATAACAATTTCAACTAAAATACGTCTAACACAGGGAACATATCAAATATATCTCTAACGGTTTTAAATGTAACACAAATAGTCAAGTTGTCAGAGCTTTTTCAGGCAACTGAGTTACAAAGTGACCGTCTGTTCCCTAACGATGTCTTTTATAGGCGAATGCGATCTACCCACATCTTAAGCTTACAAATTAGGTATACCCTAATTAGGCACACTGCAATAGTATTATTGTTTTTAAGTTATACATATTTCTCTTGTGAGTCCGCACGGGTAGGTACCCTGCCTATTTTTGCCGTGAAGCAGTAATGCGGTTCGGTTGGCAGCAGCCGTTGTAACTATACCGAAACCTTGGAACTTATATCTCAAGGTGGGTGGCGCATTTACGTTGTAGATGTCTATGGGCTCCAGTAACCACAACTTAACACCAGGTGAACTGTGAGCTCGTTCACGCAACTAAGCAATAAAAAAAAGATAGTCAAGCTGACAGAACTTCTTCAGGCAACTGAGTTACAAAGTGACCGTCTGCTCCCTGACGATGTCTATGTCTTTTATAAGCGAATGCAATCTACCCACATCTTAAGCATACAAATTAGGTATACCCTAATTAGGCACACTGTAATAGTATTATTGTCTTTAGGTCATACATATTACTTAGTTATTTGCCACGGCAAAATTTGACTACATCAATGGCATTGTCGATAGTGAGATTAAGATTGACCTGCAACTGCAAGTACTCGGGCAACGCCGCCACCGAAACCTGTCTAAAGCGAACGTCTATTGAATCTCGTAACGACCCCGACGAGGTCAGTGCGTCTGCATCTCACGAACTGTATTGAAAGCGAAAGTAAGTTTCGGCTCGCTCGCGATTTCGTCTGAGTTCGGCGCGAAGTTGCCGCCAATGAAAACGAAAGTCACAAGCATTCCGTACCTGAATAGATCGATATCGGTGATTAATAAAGCTGTACAATTTTTTTATTGCTTAGATGGGTGAACGTATTCACAGCCCACCTGGTGTTAAGTGGTCACTGGAACCCATAGACATCCACAACGTAAATGCGCTATCCACCTTGAGATATAAGTTCTAAGGTCTCAAGTATAGTTACGACGGCTGCACCATCCTTCAAACCGAAACGCATTACACCTTCACGGCAGAAATAGGCAGGGTAGTGGTACCTACCCGCGTGGACTCACAAGAGGTCCTACCACCAGTAAGCAAGAGGTCCTACTTACTACCAGTAAACAAGAGGTCCTACCACCAGTAAAAATCCTATTTTAATATTCCTTTCCTATTAAATTCCTATTTAATAGTAAATTCTTATCGATTATTGTTACAATTACTATATAGTGACGTCGCTGTACAACACATATACTACTGCAGATATAAGACTAGAAGGGTTGATTTGAGACAGGCTGTCGGTGAAATCACAGTAAATCCCTATCAAGCATATTTAACTTATTCACTTCTTATCCTTATCCCATATTATGTGGGATTACGCGAAGAAGATTGCAAATTTTGTACATCTATGATCAGTGTTATGTAATATGGTGCGGAAAGCGCAGTAAACATTAGTAAAATACCAGTGATGAGTTATGGGCTTGCAGAATGTTTTGTGATGTTATTTATAATTTAATAAAACTCGGTGGAAAAAAAAAATTACGTTGTATGGTTTTATAATTTTATATCCGCAATGATACAATCATAGAAATTCGACATAGACAAGAGATATTGTGCCACAGATAATAACTAATTTTTATATTTATTGGAGTCTTCACAATACCTTTCGGTATTGCATCGAGATGCATCGGTATATGATTTAGACGTTACTAAAAACGTCGATAAGTATTTACTGTTTTGTTCATTTCTTTTTTATTCTATTGATTGCATTGATGCAATGTAAATGGAGAGCAAACAGTTTCGTTCTACTGCAGAATTCTTAAGGACTTGCTTTTATATATGTATGTAGTTGATACACATAATAATAATTGATTTATGTACTTTTTTAATCGACGCTCCGTCGGGTCGTGTCGAATTGATTAATGATGTTTCATGAATGATAAATCGGCGTTGTCTCGACTTGTCTGATATTTACTTTTTCTGTTTATGTACGTACGGTGTTGCTGTAACTAATAATACGTTTTAAGAATTCAATTTGCCATTTTTATTTGTTTCACTAGTAACAGGCAGGCAGCGGCTTGGCTCTGCCCCTGGCATTGCTGAAGTCCATGGGCGACGGTAACCACTCACCATCAGGTGGGCCGTATGCCCGTCTGCCTACAAAGGCAATAATAAAAATAAAAAAAAATATTTCAGATTACGTGCTGACATTAACGTTTTTGTTCACAGGGCGCTACTAGTGTGCACTCGTCTCGCGAACCAGCATGTAGTGGATACGAACAAGTGAAAAATAATTTTATTGCGTGCTAAACGAGAGACGAAATGGCCGAGACGATCGCTTACGAACCAGCGATGGACGATGAAGTTTACGATTATGACACCACCAAAATCCCGGAGATCGTGACCCCTGACGACATGAACGAGTCCGGGTATCAGGAGGGCTCCGAGCAGAGCTACGGGGATCGCAGGGATTCCAAGGAGGGCTTCGGCGGCGAGGGCGATTCCGACAGCGGCGTGGACGGCGTGAGCAGCGGCTGCAGCACCGCGGACGATTGCCCGGTCGTGTCAATCAACGACGTGGTCGCGTACTATGATCACATCCGGCCGAGGAGGCGGCACGTACCACAGCTCAGCTTCTACACCGTCGACATCGAGAGGATGACGCTCGAGGCTATTGCTCAGGTGGGTCTTTCATTTTCATTATCTATTTCTTTCATGCATGTAGCTGAACGAGCTTACGTTCCACCTCGTGTTAATTGGCTATAGAATCCAATAGGGAATCAGATTTTTTTGTAACAATTTAATTAGTGTTATTTTTTACTGAATTCGTTATGCTTGTAAGTGTTAAGCCCCGGTCAAAGTATGATCGAGGTAACTTTAACTTCCATATACAGATGTATGAATGCGGAGTGATAGTACATATACAGATACAGAATACGGATACAGAAGTACGTCTATTATACACGTAAATATTTGGCTGCATGGTCTTGGTCTAATATAGTACTACCACCATGTGTCGAGAAAAACGATTTTGGGACTCATCGGTGAATGGAAAACAGCGTTCCTTGAATGTTATAATGTGGTGCGACATTTGACATTTCTTGGTTTTAGGGCATAATGTAAGGCCACACTGGTAGCTACCGCCATATTGCCTGTTTCCGTCGCCATCTTGCCTATTTCTGTCGCCATCTTGCTTATTTCTGTCGCCATCTTGCTTATTTCTGTCGCCATCTTGCCTATTTTGTATAGTAGAACAGTCGTTATGCAATTAACACTCCGACCTCAAGTATCAAGGTGGATGACTAAATTCACGTTGCGGTGTCTATGAGCTCCCGCAACCACTTAAAACTAGATGGACTTTGAGGTCGTTCACTCATTTAAGCAATAATTAAATGGAACTACATAATTACAATATAATTTGGTTACTAAGTGTAATTATTTAAAACAGTACAAGTTTTACGTGCAATTCAAATATGATTATCGGTTTGGCTTAGTATTTTTTTTTAAAACAAACCGCTGTTACCGGGTTGAGATACGTTATAACCAATATAGTTTCGAACGAAAATAACATATTTATTCTTACTCATCATTATCCTGCCCTTCTCCCTGTCAACTGGGGTCGGCGCAACATGTTTTCTCCATCCATACTCCTCTATCATATACCATTTGTTCGCTTACACATATCGTCTTTCACGCAATCCATAAATTCCTTCTTAGGTCTACCTCTTTCTCTATATCCCTCCACAGTCATAGTCAACACTCTCTTACCAACCTCATTTTCATTTCTCCTCCTCACATGTCCATACCATCCCAAACGCGCACTTCTCAACTTCTCTGTCACAGGTGCTACTTTCAGACTTCCTCTAACATATTCATTCCGTATTATATCCATTCTCGTCACTCCACACATCCATCGCAACATTCGCATATCTGCTGCATGCAATCGCCTTTCATCCTATTTATTTATTATTACTATTTTCTTAGTATTTATTCTTCCCATTTCCTCGAAAACCGGATAAGAATTCGACTAGTTACGGGAAGATTTCACAACGCAATATGACATAATATTGTTGGTGTGGTTTTCGGTTCTTTTTTTCCGTCTCTGATCTCGTCGGCTGCTTCAAATCTTTTAATCACGGTTACAGATCTAATAGCGAACATCATTTCCTGCATTCACCGCGTTCGGTAATAACACAATCGAGAGGTGGACTAATGCAATGATATTGTTTAATTTTTGTAATTTTATACGTCGGATTACGGAGATAGACGTGCATTAACGTTATCCTGATTCAAAACGAGCACTTAGAGGAGAGAAATGTTGTTATAGCACTATCTGAATCGTTCCTTTCATAGCCTCGGTTAGGAGATTCAAGCGGGTACCACTAATCGACGTGTTAATGCCACGAAGCAACCTTGCGTTCCGATTTAAAGGGAGAGCTATTGCAGAATCCAACTTCAAGTTTTAATGTGCAAATGTTAAAATGGCACTAGACACTTTAATTACCCGGGTGGTATTTTGAGCATTAAATAGAGCACTCGAATAATAAATATATGATTATTTCGAATGACTAAAGTGTAATGAACTCTTCTATTATGTTTTTGCTTAAACAGACTAATGTTTGTTCAGCAGATTGTTGAGCCAATAGACAAGACGAATTCTGCTACCTAGTTTTTTATTTTTTTATTTTATTGCCCTAATAGGCAGACGAGCGGCCCACCTGATGGTGAGTGGTTACCGTCGCCCATGGACTTCACCAATGCCAGGGGCAGAGTCAAGTCGCTGTCTACCTTTAGTTTGAGAAGTTAATCTGGATAGAGTCCTCATGTGTGTTCTTATTGTAATAATGTCTATCCCATCTCATATGCTGATAGCCTTGAGAGGCTATATCAACTTCGCCCTAACGTGTGGGTGAGCTCACGGGGCTCAAGCCGGAGTGTTGCTAACACTGGCCCTAGCAAGAGCAGTGCTTCGCAGAATCTACCACCGGATCGGAAACGCGACCCACTGAGAAGATCCGGCGAGAAACTCAGTGGGCTGTGTCTGTGGGTTAACACGGAGTACTTCGTTGCCGAAGTAGGCAGTACACAGTAGTGTAATTAACTCTAACACATTTTCTAATACATTTTATATCAATATACAGATAAAAATCTCTTTTGCGATATCATTGGGAGTTGTAGTCATTATTAGATAAACATTGACGGTTAAGTCCCCTATTCTATCGTATAATAGGCAATACAATTATTTTTATCAACTACATTAACAACAAATAGCACAGTAGCTAACTTACGAAAATTTACTACAAGTTTTCATATCTTTCACAGTTTTCGCTTTCAATGACCAGATAAGCCGTGAAAGATTCAACTTTAGAGACCATTAGAACAGTTAACTGTTAAACTTCACGTAAAATGTGCATAAATTATGTTAAAAGAATACAAAAACAACAAAAATATTCGTTAAAACCAGCCCGGAGAGTTTCCAATCTGCACCTGCCTTCGCTCTGCCAAAACGTTACGTAAATTCCTTACAAAATACTCATTTACGTTTCGTATGAGTTCCTTTCTCTTACTTAGCAATCATTTCAAATATCAACTCGGCTGTAATTCAAGACGAAATTACTACACATTCTCCGTGTCACTCGTGATTTGTGCTTAGGCAGTAAAATAATGACGATACACAAAAGCGTTGATCGTTGTGCCCACAAAATGTACTACTGCAGTTTCGTAATAATTGACTCTTGAATTTTGTTAGTGTACTATAACGAAGCACGAAACTATATTTCGATACAGGCGTGCTTAAATTACAATACTAACAAGGTTTCAAAGAAACTGTTTTAGGAGTTTGCTTGGAGTCATATCAGTTTTAAAGCTATTGCCTAGCTTTTATCGCGGGCCTTGAGCGCGGCGACCGAATCATGAAAATCCGTAACGAAAAAAACCTTACACCCCTCACTCCGCCTACCATGTAGCTCGCGTTCAACACTTTCACACGTTGCGCTTGTGTAGTGTTTTTGAATAAGCGCGTGGCGTGACGTCACACTGCATGCGCATCATGAAAAGTCTGCCCATCTCTCTCTCGCGCCGTCTAGCTTATGAGTGTAAAGGGGACAGTTTTGCAGGGGTTTTGCTTTTATTAATGTTTAATATAGCGTGATCTTGCTTTATTATTGTTTTAATATTAAATTATCATTGTCTAATTATAATTGCATAAATTGGTAAAAAATGCTATGCAATAGCTTTACCGCGGCAGTTCCCGAGTGCCACACGTTTTTTTTTTGTTTTTTTTTTGATTGGTGGACGAGCCTACCTGGTGCTAAGTGGTTATTGGAACCCATAGACATCTACAACGTAAATACACCATCCACCTTGAGATATAAGTTCTAAGGTCCTCAGTATAGTTACAACGGCTGCCCCACCATTCAAATCGAAACGCATTACTGCTTCACGGCAGAAATAGGCAGGCTGGTGGTACCTACCCGTGCGGACTCAGTAATAATTACGCAAATTATAATTTTACGGGTTTGATTTTTATTACACGATGTTATTCCTTCACCGTGGAAGTGAATCGTTATGTACGTATTTCATTAGAAAAATTGCTACCCGCCTGCGGGATTCGAACACCGTTACATCGTTAGATACGAATGCACCGGACGTCTTATCTTTTAGGCCACGACGACTTACGACAATCCGAGGACGTTGCTGCTCATTCTCTAATGAATTATTAGGCTTTTTTTATGACACAGAGAGACCTATTCTAAATCACACGTCAAAGTTCCTCTGCTATCGCTATACTTGTAAAAATCAAACATCAGAATTGCTTAATAGGTATGTATCGCAAAATCGATGTGATGTTACAGAATGCTAACATACGTATTACGCAATGCATGTAAACGTGCACAGATATATCGTGTAGATACACGGACAATAAATTTTCTACTAAAGCTGCCTCAGCGGTTTTATTGCAGCCACGCGGTGCTTGGATTAATAACATCATACATTGTACTAGTATTTTTTTATTTATTTCGTTACATGAAAAGACGTATTTACGGGCAATCTGATGTTATATGGTTTCGAATTGCATACAACGCAGTTAATCGACAAAGTTGTAACTTAAATATGTCCATAGATCTGTATAGTGCTGTATGAAAATTTTTGCCTTGACTAATCGTGCAAGCTTCATTTATCGGTAGTTTTTGTACTGACAAATTTACTAAAAGAAATTTATTGCTTACATGGGTGGACGGGCTCACAGCCCACCTGGTGTTAAGGGGTTACTGGAGCCCATAGACATCAACAACATAAATACGCCACCCACCTTGAGATATAAGTTCTAAGGTCCCAAGTATAGCTACAACGGCTGCCCCGGCCTTCAAACCGAACGTTTTACAGCTTCACGGCAGAAATAGGCAGGGTGCTGGTACCTACCCGTGCGGACTCACAAGAGGTCCTACACCAGTAAAAAGTGCCTGTTTATCCGAAAGAACGGCGGCTATAAAACTTACAGGTACATAGCAATTTACATACGCTAAATTGCAATTGGCGATTCTATATTGCGCAATCGATGAGCCGAAATAGGATGTTACTTACGAATGTTAAAAATAAACAGATTGTACACTTCATTAGCATCCATTCGTATTGCAATACGCAAATCAACGGATACATTACATTATCGCACACGTGCAAAT